ATGTTCTTCAACGCAGTAGATGATCCAATATGCAAAGGCAGGGCATGCTGATGGAAATAATTAAAAATATGGAGAAATTAATAGCAAATGAACATATAAAAAGTAGTTGAACGAGGAAATTAGGAAGTGCAGGGAATGTATAAATTAAACAAGAACATTGCGTAAAAATTGAGAGAAAAATTCACCTAATGATCGCGTAAAATTGAAGTCTGAAGAAAAAACGAGGAACCAGGTGAACAAACTTACCCTAACAAAACAATAACAGGTACCGGCCCCGTCAGGGCGTTCTCAGGCTACGCGAGATGAGAAGAAAACCAACTACCAGCGATGGTTCTTTATGTTCAGACACAGCCGTTTTGAGTTTTCACACCTGATTGTGGATGAAGCTATTAACCTCGGGTTTTTTTTTTATATATATTTTTTCCTTAACATAGACTAATACAGGGAAGAAAGAATGTGCAGATTAGAAATTAAAAAAATTAATAATAAAAGAGAGAAAGTGTAAGAAAAAAAAGTTAATGTGATAATAAAAAATGGTTGAACAAAATTGAGGAAAAAAATAAAAGAGAAATATACTTTTTAAAACTATTTAATATAAAAACTATTATTATTCTTAATATTATTTTTTTATTTATGAATCAAAATTGTGTTTTTTATTAGTAATATTGTGATGTAAATATTTATTATTGTCATTATAATTATAAAATTAAAACAAAGTAAATTTAAATAAATATATAAAAAGAAATCTATTGATGAAATAGAAAATCAACTACCAGCTGGAATCTTTAATATATATTAACAATTTAGTATTTGAAAAATTAAAATATTTATATAATATAAAAAAAGTATTGTAAATATGTTTTTTATCAAATTTTGTGATGTTATTTTGTTATTGAAATCTAATTTTAACAACTAAGTTAATATTAAATTATATTTTTATTTTTAAATTATAATATTAAAAAATTACTATCTATTTTTTCTACACATTTAAAGGTTAAATTAAAATTTTCATTTACTCAATAATGAAATTGATAGCTCTTCATCTGATCAAATTGGTCAATTATGTATATGGTTTATATGAAAAACTTCTTTTTTTCTCCATTAGGTAAAATTAAATTATCAATTTTATTGATTTTTTCTATAAGAAATAAATTAATATAAAATATAGTAAAATATTTTCAATCAACTTATGGAAATGCTAAATATATTACAGGAACAATAACTTGAAACACTATTATATTAAGTTTTTACTCTTATTAGTATAAAAATAACCGTCACAGTGGTTAAGAAAATCAACAATTTATCATCACAATCAAGAAAAATATAATTTGATTTGAATATCCAAACAATGATTTAAAATAGTTGATAGTATTAACAGTACTATAATACATAAACACAATAATTAAGAAAATTATAACAACCATGGTTGTTATATTTCGTCTTAGATAATTAAATAATAATAATAATAATACATCTGTACTGGGCTGGGCCATACACTGATAAATTAGCTAGCCATGGGCTTAGAAGTAACTCATGCAATGTATTCAAGGTTATTGCTATTTGCACTCTTCATGTTTAGTAAATATTTTTTAACTAAATATTATTTTCTGTGTCCATCAAAGATCCCTTTATATTTCATCAATAGCCTGTGACCCAATTAAAGATTTTAAAATTTTTTAAATACACCAATATTTGAAAACTTAAAACAAATAGTAAATAGAGTGATAATGATAGAAAAAATATAGTAGCTGGAATAAATATAGTAGCTGCTTATTAGACTCTGGTGTTTCCTTAAAGGGCCAGCTGTGAAGTCACTTGCGAGTGATGCCCTATCTATAATGTATGTATTTGAACGAATGGAAAGAACGAAAATATTTGCCTCTAAATTTCTTTACTCCCTTCAATGTTCCGTAGACCCACCTATCCATATCTGGTATGCTTTTAATCAAATCTGACACTCACCAAAAGACCATATGTAGTAAGGGTGTGCAGAAAAATTCATAAACTGCAAGGAGATGCATCCAAAAATAAAACCATTTAAACTAGGTTAGAAAGTAATCCGATTTTATCATTGGTATGCAGTAATACTTTATTCTTTTAGAACTTCATGTAGCACAGCTATTGAAAACCACTCAGCTATTTGAATCCCATAGCAGCCTGGATCGCTCTGCTACCCCACTATAGTGAGTTACTATTAGGAATCAAACTTAGACTGCTACAATAATTCAGATCAATAGCACAAGAAACTCTGACGGTTAATTTCAGCTGGCTTTGAGAACACAACACCATTATGCAATTAGGTGCAGCCTAAAGGATTAATAGTTCATTTCCCTAATGCATAAATGAAAAGCATCCATTTTCAATAGATTAAGTTAGTAATACACAAGAAAATAATGTTTGTCATCTCACCTTTTTAAAGTACAGAGGAGCATCTTTGGCAATCAACCTCCGTTCCCCCAATCGTCCCTCCCATCTCCTTCCCCGATCGAATCCCTAACCTCCGTTTCCCTTCACCCATCCTCGCGTCCCTTGCGAACTAAGCTGCAGCGAATCAACTTCCATCGCCCCAGTTGGAATCGCTGCGCTTAGCACCACCCCCGCCGTGCACCAGGAACTGCGACGCGCCACCCTCGTCTTCACCTCTCTGAAACCCCGCCTTCACTACCAGCCGCCGCGAGGAATCCCTCCAGGAGTCCCTCCTCATCGCACCGACGCGCCTTCGATCTCGCCGCGAACCAGAGGTGATTCGGAGCAGGGCCGTGGGTCTATCCTATTGGCTTCTGCATCCTTGTTTTTTATTACCTTTGTGTATTTTCCTGGATTATTTTGTTTGGTCGTAGACTGATTCTGCCTGTTGGTTTAGGGTTTCCTAACCTCCTCCAAACATCCACTTTTGTCGCGCCATCCTCCTTCACCGTGAACCTTCAACCCTCACTCACTCTCCCCGTTCGAGCTTCGCGGTGAGCCTAGATTTCAGATTTAGTTCATGGGGTCTAACGGGGTTCCTGTTGGTTTTTGTAGGGTGTTGGTTTAATTTTGGGTTCATTCTGTTGATTTCGTTTGTTTCGGCTTGAATTTGATGCTTTCATCTAGTTCTATTTTTTCTGTGTTTAAGGTTGATGCTATCCGAATGGGGTGTGTTTGATGTGGGTTAAATGTTATTGTTGAGCTGACCGAGCTTGGTTCATAACTCTTGACTGTTTAATTTCTCTTTATTTTCCAATGTCTGGGTTTCCCTTGTTGAATGTGGAATTGACAGGAGCAAAAGGAGGGATACTTATTTGGCTTATGTTGGTTTAGCTTTTCTTCGATTATTTGTTTGATTTTTGGACTGGATTTATTATGGGTTGGATGGCTGGCGGGGATGCTAGTTTGTTTAAATTTGTTATTCTCTGTCGGTAAAACTATTTCAGCATTATTACGTTTCTCTGGATGTCCGGGTCTGATGCCTGGTCTTTCATCGAATCTAACTTGGATTTGGTTACTGATGTGTGGGTCTGATGCCTGGTCTTTGATTGAATTTGACTTGAATTTGGTTGCTGAAGTCTAAAGCTTCGTGCTCGAGTCTGGGGATATTTGTTGAGGTTTTGACGAAGCAACTTGACTCTGGCGAGTTTGTTTAACTGGGCTTGGTTGGAGTGTTTGATCACATTCATTTTTGGGTTTTTGTTGATTATTCTGGATCGGTTTGTTTGTATCAAAATATATTGTCTGTTTGGACTGTGCGGCAGCTTAATCGGGTTATGTTTATATGAGTAGCAAATTATTATCATGTGTGTGGCACTCGATTTAGTGGCTTTCGGCCCCGCCCTGTGTTTGATTTATAGACTTTCGGCCGTGCGTCAGATAGGATTGTCAGCCCCGCCCCTTGATTTAGGTTATTTGGACGTTCAGTCCTTTATGATTTTCTTTTCTTTTTTCATAGCGGATAAGGTCGCTCACGTCGTCATGTCCTTCCTTTGAGGTACGGGTACAATCATTTGCGTCGTCATGTCCTCTATTTTAAATAAACCTTTAAAACACAGCTATGATCGCATGTGTCATCATTTGTCTTCAAAACAACAATAAAAATATGAATTTCCTCAAAACCCAAAACAAAACACAAAACTCTTTCAAAATCACCAAAATATTTCAAAACATTAACCAACATACAAACATTTTTCTACCAAAAGAACTACTTAACCTTGATTTCTCATTTTGAATGAGAATACCTAGGAGCAAGGTTAACCCTTGTCGGCCCAAAAAAACTAAATATTTTAGTTCATTATTTCCTTTTTCCTTTTTCTTTCTTTATTTTTTTGGGGAAAATAAATATTATTAAAATAACATTCAATTTCGTACATTCAACTAAGGGTAACCGTCTTAGGATGGATATTGTAGGGTATTAATATCTTTCCTACACGTAATCGACTTCCGAACCTAAATCTGAACCTAAATCCGGTTTTCGTAAACCTTGTCTTATCTTTATGATTTTTCCATAGTTTTCCTGAATAAACTACGGTGGCGACTCTGAAACTCTGATTTGATCTTTTTAAATCTTAAAATTTTTGGTCTATCGTCCCGTCACGATTTCGATTGTGACACGGTGGAAAGCAGAGCGACATGAAATCGACCTCTGGAGATTGAAATCATTAAGGTCAGTCTCCTGTTAGCTTACCGGCGTGCTCTGGTCTAATTCAGTTTGTTGCTTTGTTACTCTTAGCCTTTTCTTACATTCTATTCCCATTTGTTTCTTTCCTCATGAATTTGATCCCATCCTATTTCAATACTTTTGTTTATTTTAGTCCTAAATCAAAATGAATGTCTCCGTGATTTCGTTACTTTTTTTGTGTGTTGCACTAATTGGGATAATTCACAGTGTGTTTGATTTTGAAGTTATGCATATATGTCGTTTATAGGTTTTTATTTTAGTATTAACTAAAACCTGACGTTTTTCCCTAGTTTACTTTGATGATCTTGCATACATTTCAGTAAGCTGAAATTTCCTCCACGAAGTTGCAATGGATATAATCTCTCAGTTACAAGAACAGGTTAATTTGATTGCACATTTGGCTTTTAATACCATTGGGACATTGCAAAGGGATGCCCCTCCTAATAGACTATCGCCAAATTATCCGGAACCACCTGCACATCCTACAGAGGAGGGGGCAAATTTTTCAGAACAGCCAAAACTGATGAGTTCTACTTTGGTGAAGGCTGCGAAGCAGGTATGTAACATTTTAGTCAATAGTGAAAGGAAGGTTTGTATATGATACTGAGTTGTTTTATCTTTCCTCCACAAAGAGAGGATGTGATTTGTTACTAGAACTATGAATATTAGTCATGCCCAATGATACACAACACACAAGAACACTGAACCATTAGACACTTGACAGATATATAATTTTTATTATATTCTGAAGGCTAGTGTGTGAAAGCACATTAGTGGTAAATGTGAAAAATGTTTGGAAAGTCTCTAAGACGCCTCAAATATGGAAATGATATATTAATATATGAAAGAATACTGCTCAACTTGTAATGGATTGTCAATGCTTATGAGTTAGACTGGACATAGACATGTTTCCTCTCTTGGAGTGTTGTTTCATAGTGAGGTAACATTCACATTTTAGGAAACAAATGATTCATTCACCTTTTTATTCAGTGCAAATTTGGTTGCAGCTGAAAATGTACTTTTGCTCTTAAAAATCCCATTCTGCACTATAAAAAATGAATTCTTCTATCTTTATACTGTCAAAGATGAAGAATGTAAACTGCATTATGTTGCTTTAGTCACTCCAATCCCAATCTAATATTGACATACATAGAAAAGTACAATTTCGTTACTTTTGGCAGAACATCATTTTGAAAGTTCACTTTACATGTTCTTATTTTACATTTTGATTCATCGAGACAACTTTTAACATTATTGACATTTTGCCTGATTTTTTTAAATTATAATTTATCAGTTTACACTTTAATTAACCTAACACTCAAAAGAGTAATTTTAAAAAATACTTTCTGAACAAAATTGTTTGATAAAATTATGAGATTTTTTTTGTGTGGAACAATTGGATTAAATAGAGACCACCTTGTTTGTTGGGCGACCTAAAAGAGAAGGTTTGGATCTTGGAAGTTTGGTATCCAAAAATGTTGCTTTTGACAGCTAAATGGTTTTGACCTTTTCCTCTACCGACTAACTCTATGGTATGAAGTTGCCCAGGGTTGGGTGTGAAATGTTAATCCTTTGTATGCATTTCCTAGACTTCTTCATCTGTCCAGGGTTGGCGTTCTCAATTTGTAATTGTTTGGTGTACATGGTTAGAAAGAAATGCCAGATTTTTCTTTTGTCAAATGATGCCTCTGGAGTTCATTTGAGGAATAGTTCACTTAGTTTCTTCGTAGTGTCCTGCTAATGGTCTTTCTAGGGGATATCTTTGGTAGATGCACATAGATATTATTATACTGTATTACATGTACCATTTTCTCAGTTTTTTTGTTTTGTTTTTTCTTTTCATTTTTTATTTAGTTGTTGAAATTTCTTGTCCTCATGCATTGGCTCTCTCCTTTATAAACTCTTTGTTTAACAAAAGAAAAAAGTCCCAAATATAAAACAAAATTTTCTGAAGTTTTGTTTTTTTGAAATAATATTAAACGGGAATAAATAAACATATTCTAAGAATGCATGAATGCATGTGATATTATTTCTGAGCAAAATATTTGTGTTAGCTCTGAATAAAAAAAAATGGATTGTTCTTTTAGGATGATAGAGAAACAAGGTGTGGTATCCAGTATTCCAATTGCATGTTTGTTTTAGAGGATAACATGCTTAAAGTTTGTTTAGAAATTGTAAACCAACATTGGATAAATACATAGAACCAAATTAACCGATTGAAGTGAGGTTTATATTTTACTAGTTATGTCTTGTTGAACTTGATTATTATATCACTCATAAGTGTTCTGGTAAAATATATGGGTTTTTTCTGTAGTTTGATGCATTGGTTGCTGCTCTTCCAATATCTGAATCAGGTGAAGAAGCACAGCTTAAGAGGATAACAGAACTACAAGTATGTAACTCACCTCACCGAGTGTTTTTTATATCTGATTGAATGGTGAACTTAATAATAAGTTATCTAATTGTGACAAGCGGTGTTTATGTTCTTACTCTTACATTGTTTTGCATCTTGCCTTCCAGGCTGAAAATGATGCAATAGGCCAAGAACTTCAAAAGCAGTTGGAAGCTGCAGGTGGGTCCAATTCTTTGTCTCTGAAGTCTGAGCTCCTGTCTTTATTTCTCTTGATAACACATGAAAGTGTAAATTCCTGTTAGATAGCCAAATGTGTTTTAAATTAGATTCTTTGGAAAAGATGTCCTGCGGCACATTTTTACAGAAGTAATTTGTTCATGCGATATTAAGCATTTTTAGGCTGTACAGGCGTAGTAGTTGGTGAGAGCATGCATCTTTGTTTGCTTTGTATGTGGTTCTTATTCTCAAAAATCAAAATTTGTACTGAAAATCCAATCTTAAAGTTATACACTACTTGTGCTTTGGATTTTAGGATGCCTTGAGCAGTAATGTATCTACCCAACTAACACTTTTTGTGTTTCTTGATATTAGAGAAGGAATTGAACCAGGTTCAGGAACTGTTTAGGCAAGCATCAGATAATTGTTTGAACTTGAAGAAACCAGATGACAATTAGCTGCTTGTGTTCCAGGCGAGGCCAAATTAGAGCGATGAATTTGGCCAGAAGTATCTCAACTTGACAGAAAGCATGGACTGTTGCAGGAGGATTTTCCTTTTCACCATAAAATCATGGTCACTGGAAATAGTTTGTATTCTTTTAAATGTTGTAACTTTTTCATGATGCGTGATGTTTTGTACAAATTGATCAGAGTTGAGATAATGTAATTATATTCCTGCTTTTGTAGGAAACGAAAAGTTTTTTGTTAAGTGTTTATATTTATCATTTATTTATGTCTGAAAAGTAGACATTCTAGTGACATCTTGAGTAAATATTGGGAATTGTTCTATTTTTTTAATTATATTATATTAATATTCATATTTATAAAATAAAAATGATGTATTTATTAAGAGAGTAAAATTATATTATTGTTAGAATTAATGAAAAGTTTTAAAATATAATTATTAGAAAAATAATAATTATTACCTTATTGAGAATTGAAAATAAAAAATAGTACTATATTCAATATTAACAATTTTAGGAATGAGAAATTTTGATGAATTTTATAAATAAATATTAAGTCTGAGTTATATAATTATAAATAAATTATGATTTAACTTTAAAAAAAATCAAATGAGCTAAGATTAGAGACTCAATTTTCTTTCTATTTTAACTATAATTTTATAGTTAATACACACCTGCTTGGAAGTTATACTTCATGCAATACTTGATTGTTTGGATTTTTCTTTGTCCTTCAGAAATATTCAAAGATCCTTTTAGATTTCTCAAATTATATTATTTAATTAAAAATTATTTAAATAATGTGACATTTACAAAGGAAATATTTTCTCTCAACTTAAAAAGGGATTCAAGTGAAAGTGAAGTATTTCATACTAAAATTTTTATCTTCTAAAGTTCATAAAACAATTTGAGATCTAGGTGAAATCATTTCTCTTACCGATTGTGAAAGAAATATTTTTTTGCTATATTAAAATTTCATATATCATCTAAAAGGATTTGAGACAAGTAAATTTTATTGATAACTAATCAATATTGCAAGGGTTACAGAACGGATGATTCCCTCATCGCAATCACTTATTTGTGAGAATTAAAAAAAAAAAAAAAATTATCCTGCAAGTAATTATTTTTCGTTATTGTGATTTTCTTTCAGTGACACAACCCTAATCATCTTGATTAGAAATAATAAGTAATTTAAATAAATCAATAAAACTATTTCAATGTTCACAAATGAATAAACCTCTAATTCGATAATACAATCTACAATACAAGAATAACGAATAAACAATATTTCACATTCTTTTTTCTTGAAAGGATAGGAGTGGATAGCACCGCCACAATCATTATCACTGAAGATACTGCATGCCACGGTACATTAGAATGTAGATTAACTAAATCCTTAAATCAAAGTAACCTAATTTGTAAAACGTTTGTTAGGAAGTTTCATTAAGCTGTTTTGTCCAGTCAAAATGATTCCACTCTTTGAAAAAGCTTGCAACTGCTTGCTTTTGTACCTCGACGGCCTCGTAGCGTCGTCGCCTGTACATGTCCTCTTCTGCCAAATGTATAATGCCATTAAACTGCTTTTCATCATCAATAACATGGACAAAACCCTTGTTTAAACCAAATTCAACGTGGAAATATGGAAAGTTCTTGGGAAATTACGCAATCCCTTTTGACTTGTATCAATAAGTTTCTTTGCATCGTGCTGGCTTAATAGTAGCTGGTTATTAGACTCTGGTGTTTCCTTAAAGGGCCAGCTGTGAAGTCACTTGCGAGTGATGCCCTATCTATAATGTATGTATTTGAATGAATGGAAAGAACGAAAATATTTGCCTCTAAATTTCTTTACTCCCTTCAATGTTTCGTAGACCCACCTATCCATATCTAGTATGCTTTTAATCATATCTGACACTCACCAAAAGACCATATGTAGTAAGGGTGTGCAGAAAAAATCATAAACTGCAAGGAGATGCATCCAAAAATAAAACCATTTAAACTAGGTTAGAAAGTAATCCGATTTTATCATTGGTATGCAGTAATACTTTATTCTTTTAGAACTTCATGTAGCACAGCTATTGAAAACCACTCCGCTATTTGAATCCCATAGCAGCCTGGACCGCTCTGCTACCCCACTATAGTGAGTTACTATTAGGAATCAAATATAGACTGCTACAATAATTCAGATCAATAGCACAAGAAACCAAGAAAGAAACTCTAGAAGGTTAATTTCAGCTGGCTTTGAGAACACAACACCATTATTCAATTAGGTGCAGCCTAAAGGATTAATAGTTCATTTCCCTAATGCATAAATGAAAAGCATCCATTTTGAATAGATAAAGTTAGTAATACACAAGAAAATAATGTTTGTCATCTCACCTTTTTAAAGTACAGAGGAGCACCTTTGGCAATATCTTGGGGTAAAGGAATGCACTCAACCCTACAATGTCGTCGTTGTGGTGCCAATCCCATCACAGTCTCAAACAACACTACCTCCTTCTCTTGATTAGCAAACATCATAATTAGGCACTTCTTGAAGTTTCAAATTTCTATCCACACATTATCGTCCACAGATCTTGTAGCTGATTCATGCTGTCAGATAAAAGAACATATAGACACAAATGTAAAATTCCATGAAAATAAAAAATAACTAAGTTACTTATTACACAAGACCAGCTGGATCAAAAATATGTCGGGCACTTTCAATTCAAGTCAAATTAAATACACCTAATGTTACTCCAAATGCATGCAATAATACTAATCTACCAAATTACTATTCCAAGTTAAAGAAAACAGTATCAACTACACTGAAATTTTCATTAGTATTATCAAAGAATGGTACAAGTCATAATGGATAATCTTCAGCTGTCAAAACCTACTCAAATAGCATCTTTTTGCATAAGAAGTAAACCAACTACGGAACTTAGTCACTCATATTGCAGGTATTGCTAAATAAGCAACAAGCCTGTACTGGTTTCAACTCCGGAAATATCAGACAGTAGCAGAAAGTAAAGTCACCTGAATAGGTATAATGCAGCATTGACCAGGAACCAATGGCTGCCACTGTGGCAACATAAGTTATGTGAAGTTTGCTATCGAAACAACAAGATGCATAGGTCGATTTGGATTTTCTAAACAAAAGAGGCGGCGTTCTTGCTGGGTCAAGAACCAATTAGTATTTTTCTGGATCTTCTGATCATCTCCTCCTTGCTTCTTTCTACTCTTTCTGCTTGGACCACTATCAAAATCATATTCATCATCAGCCTGAGTGGGAACCTCAAACTGCTTGTTCTGCATGATCGTGCAAGCAAGATGCCTATCTTGCTTGCATAGCGTACCTTAAAAGAATAAAATATCATCAGAAATAATGAAATATTATAAGGATAAATAAAGCTGCAGAGACCAATAATGATAATAAAACAAATCAACCATGCTTACAAACCTAAAAAAAAAATTAAGAAATGCAAACTATAAATAAAAATAAGAGTTACCCAGTTTTTGTGCAGCATAAGAAATGTCACCTTGGGTACAATGTTTGCACATTAGAAATGAATCAATCGTGAGTGGGATAAAGAAGGATAATACAAACAAATACACATTATTAAAAGAAAGCCAAATACCTGCTAGAACTACCATCAGTTCTTGATCTAGTTGAATGATCATGATTTTCCGGTTTTGTGTTCATAACTTTTACTTCTTGCTGTCCACCAAAAGAAGAACAAAACGCAGACATTGAAATCAAAATACTCAGGAAACAAGAACGATATGTTTTTGCAAAACAAAAGATAAAATACAATATGTTGAATATTATCTATTTCCTTATTATATCAAAGTAAATACTATTTGTTTACTTGTATGTATGACAGCTGTGTAATTAGTAATTACTATGAAGGATTTTCAGGCTATAATTACAAGATTTAATCCCTATAATCAAGGGATTTTGAGTGTACAATGATATTTGCAACTTAATAACACTGAGTCAACCTCTCAAGAATTTCCGAATCAATATCATTAGAATCCAGTATTATTATCAAGCCAATTGACCAGGTTAATGTGACCTCCTCCCAAAGCAAAAGGCAAAGAAAGATAATACACTATGTACTCTTACAAAACTAGAAGTTTTTCAACTCTTCACCAGTTTCCTACCATCTCACAGATTCTATTTCCAAGAATAATCCATAGAAAGCATGAACGAGAGGTCCAGGAAGAGCAAAATGTCTAATTTCAGGGCAAGTGAAAGGCAAGACTGACAGAAAATTTTTAATAACCAGTGGCAAATTCTGATGGAAAACAAACTTGATAATGTAGCAGAGACCATGAAGGCAGTCATATTTCAAGATAGACTTTTCAGGGCACCAGAAACAGAAAATAATTGTCCTAATTCAGGAGTAAGAACCATAATCATAAACATTGAAACCATTATCTGAAAAAAAAGTTTGTTCTGGCCGTTTTCTTCTTCATCTAATCTGGTAAGAAGGAATAAACTAATTGCACTACTGCATCTGAACAGGCCCACATGAAATGGTTGAGGGTGGAAAAAAACATCATGTGCTTGTTAAAACTGAACAAAATGATAAGAGCCAAACAAAATCTAGAAAAGATATTCTCTTATTGTATGCCTTACCATCAGTTTCTCAGCTTCTTCATGCTTTCCCTTCAATCGAAGTTGCATAGCCTTAGCTGCCAACTGGTTTGCACTCATCTCATTCTTGACTACTGCACTTCTTTCTCCAGGGGTGTTTGCTTCCAACGAAACTTTTTCTAATTCAACACTTCCCAAAACAGAGACATCAGAATTATTACTCCTTTTGCTGCCAAAATCATGCAAAAAGCTTCCATCATTAGCAAACTTATTTAGGCTAGATACTGCAGCAGAGATGACCCCAGCACCCTCTGCTACCATGTGTTGACTCTTCCGCTTTCCCCAAGAAAAAGAATCCTAAACTTTAGGTGCCCTTATTTCATGGTGCCGAACAGAAACATCCTTTAAGTAGTCCTGATAGCATTTAATTAGCCAATTTCAGAAATATGTAACAGAATACATTTCAAAATTCCAGAAAAATCCAATTAACACCATGAAATTTATTAGACACAAAACCAATTGAAGGAACAGGAAAGAAACATATATTCGTTATCAATGTTACCCTTTTAGATGCCCTTCCACCATGCTTATTAGAATCTGGTGAATTTTCTTCGCCTATACCTTTTTGTCTATTTCTTATCGTATGTAGATGAGCACGAGCTGGAACAGCTGCATTAGATGCAACAGATGCAGCCAACTCACCAAGAGAACCCCACCTTTCTTGCACAACCTGCACATAGCCATATAGCAAACAGTAATGTTTTTACAGGATGACAAAGATACCTTTTTACATAGTAACAACTTAAAAAGGAATATCTGAAAATCATGGCAAAAAAACCTCATTAAAGTTCCGCCCTTCTCGATTTGCTTGTTCTTGTGCACGCTTTAAGGCTTTAAGTCTCCAACTAGCTCCTCCATCCCCAACAAGTGAAGAAGATAGAAGTTGGTCAACACCAACTTTAGCTCCATCACTTTCTTCGGGGTAACCACTTCCACTGTCCTTCAAATATGGATTCAGTTCCTTAGAATTTTCCTTCTTTGACTGAAAATAGAAACAAACAGCTTAGTCCTTTCATCACTTTGCTCTAGCTCGGGATGAAAGATGAAGACAAGCTGCAACATATATGTAAATATTTAACACAAAACACAAATGAACAGGTACTTCAACTATTGGAATGTCAACAGGATATTGAAACAACATTGTTCCCTAATCCAGCACTTCTATCTTAAACAAAATCCATATATAAATAATGAAATAAACACATAGAATATAAATTAATTCTCCTGCACAAGAAGGCCAAATAACCAAACCATTTTATCTTCAAAGGGCAATAGCTCACCATGTCACTTACCTTTACCATTTTTCCCATTTACAATATAAAGGGAAACGAAGTCTGTCTTTGCTTTGTTTTATCTTTTGGTTTTATTTCTAGATATTTTATCCCTCCCTTCTCATTTATCCTTTCATATCTTGTAAGAAATAGCATAAAATGACACCAACATATAGCAGTTAAAGAGAAAATTCAAACAAAAGCAACAAAAAATTAGTAAACATAAGATAATGTGTCCTCTTTTGAGTAAAGAAAAAGAATATAAACACAGAACTCAATAGGAGAGCTACATATTTTAACAGCCCTGAGGGAAAAATATTTAACACTGAGACATACCTCATCAACAGGAAAATCCTCTGACAACTTCTCCTCTGTTTCCATAACTGCCGGCTTCTTACTTTCAGCCCTGAGCTTCCAATCCAGTCCCATTTCTTTTCTCGCAATTTCCATCTCACTCGGAGAATCATCCCTTCTCTTTTTTGCTATCCTCCTTCTCTTGTTTTCATCTTTATCACTCTCACTTTCACTTGTGTAAAGAGAAGAATCTTCATCGGACGAATACCACTTCTTCTTCCTAGATCGTTTCTTGATCTTATCAAGCCCGTCATCATCAGAACTGTCCCTAGAGCTCCTCCCTTTCTTCTTAGTCTTTTCCTTCCTCCTAACTGATTTTTTCCTTTCTTTCGGGGGCAGAACTCAAGTCTACAAACTATCAGACACAAGAAATAGGAACATCAACAATAACACTCACACTATGATACAACTACAGTAGCTCCACTCACCTGGTCCCGGGGAATAAATTTCACACCTGAAAACATTTTTTAGCTTACTAGGTTGTACCAACGCCTGCATAATAATAAAAATACACTAAATAAAACACAGAAAAGGGGCTTTATTTTAAATGTTCTTCAACGCGGTAGATGATGCAATATGCAAAGGCAGGGCATGCTGATGGAAATAATTAAAAATATGCAGAAATTAATAGCATATGAACATATAAAAAGTAGTTGAATGAAGAAATTAAGAAGTGCAGGGAATGTATAAATTGAACAAGAACATTGCGTAAAAATTGAGATAAAAATTCACCTAATGATCGCGTAAAATTAAAGTCTGAAGAAAAAACGAGGAACGAGGGTGAAGAACAAACTTACCCAGCTACGCGAGATGAGAAGAAAACCAACTACCAGCGATGGTTCTTTTTGTTCAGATGTGGCCGTTTTGAGTTTTCACACCTGATTGTGAATGAAGCTATTAACCTAGGTTTTTTTTTTTTTTTTTACTTTTTTCCTTAACATAGACTAATACAGCAAAAAAAGAATGTGCAGATTAGAAATTAAAAAAAAAAATAAGAAAAAGAGAGAAAGTGTAAGGAAAAAAAAGGTTAATGCCATAATAAAAAATTGTTGAACAAAATTGAGGAGAAAATAAAAGATAAATATACTTTTTAAAATTATTTGATAGAAAAACTATTATTATTTTTAATAATATTTTTATATAAATCAAAATTGTGTGTTTTTATTAGTAATATTGTGATGTAAATATTTATTATTGTCATTATAATTATAAAATCAAAACAAAGTAAAATTAAATAAATATATGGAAAAAAAAATCGATCGATGAAATAGAAAATCAACGACCAGCGATGGAATCTTTAATATATATTAACAATCTGGTATTTGAAAATTTAAAATATTTATTTAATATAAAAAAAAGTCTTGTATAGATGTTTTTTTATCAATTTTTGTGAAGTTATTTTGTTATTGAAATCTAATTTTAACGACTAAGATAATATTAAATTATATTTTTATTATTAAATTATAATATTAAAAATGCATTATCTATTTATTTTTCGCATTTAAAGGTGAAATTAAAGGTTTCATTTAATCAATAATTAAATTGATAGCTCTTCGTATGATCGTCAATTATCGATATGGTTTATATGAATAACTTTTTTGTTGTCGTTGTTTTTTTCAGTAAGTAAAATTAAATTATCAATTTTATTGATTTTTTCTATAAGAAATATAGTAAAATAAAATTATGATGAATTTTTTTCTATCAACTGAATTTGTGATGGAAATGCTAAATATGTTACAAGAACAATAGCTTGAAATTTGCAATATTAGATTAAGTTTTTACTCTTATTAATTAAAAAAACCGTTACAGTAGTTAAAAAAATCGTCAATTTATCATCACAATCAATAAAAGTATAATTGGATTTGAATATCCAAACAATGATTCAAAAGGAAAATGATACTTTGACAACCCAAATTCATACTTTATTTTTTATTTTTATTAAATGATTCTATAGAATATTATATTAATAAAAAGTGAGTATATGTATTATAATACATAAACACAATAATTAAGGAAATTATAACAATCATCGTTTTTATGATTTATATATATATATTCTATTTCGTCTTAGATAATTAAATAATAATAATAATACACCTGTACTGGGCCGGGCCATACACTGGTAAATTAGCTAGTTGTGGGCCTAGAAGTAGCTCATACAGGGTGTATTCAAGGCTATTGCTATTTGCACTCTTCATGTTTACTAAATATTTTTTAACTAAATATCCTTTTCTGTGTCCACCAAAAACACCTTTTAAAGATAAGATTATATATATATATATATATATATATATATATATATATATATAATATAAGACATTAATTTAGAATAGAAGTTCACCTTTTATATATTAGTATTTGATATTACAATATCATATTTATAAAAATAAAATATTTTTATAAAAAAACAGTCAAATAAGATTGAGTTTATAGTGAAGTGTGAAAGACATATTTGGAAATGAGGAATATATATCTCTACCCCACGAAAGAAAAAGAAAATGTCTAAAATAGAATTGTTGATCCCATAAAAGAAGAACAGATAGTGAGACATGGATAATAATGGAGGTGAAGAAAACGCAAATTTAGTAGGAACCATTGACAAAGAAATTGAATGATTGTTTGTCATTCTCTGTTTCTCTCACTTCCATTAGCCAGTACATGCACGGACCCCTCCAATTAATTTTGATAAGGATGGTTTTGATTTAAAAAGTCATATATGGTATTAGGTTACCAAGTTCATAGTACTATCATAGCATCTACACTTCAACGCTTTAATTTGAAAGAGCTTTGACATTTTCTCAACTTGTTCTAAATATCTAATCATTAATGAACACTGCACATGCCAGGTGCAATCCCTCACCCCTCCTGTGATTGACATGATGGTCAACCTCAACTTTTATATATTTGATTATTCGTTGTCACTTGGGAGACTCATCAACGTTCGAGCCAAAGACACCACAAAATCAAATCAGTTTCACGCAAAATTTTATATTTCTGCTATAATCCGTGATTCAAATTATATTTAACACTTTTTAAGAACTCCTAATTTTCCACAACAGTTTAATTTTCATTTCATGATTTTCTATTACTGTGGAAGTTATTGGCATAATTACACCTCACAGTGCGCGTTAAGTGTAAGATCAACAAACCACTAGCAAACTTCTGCAATGTGGTAGATAGAGATATTAATTAGTTTATGAAAGTTACTACCTCTTATATATGCATAATACATGTATAAAAAAGATATAGATAAGCATGGTTTTTCTAATGGGTTCCCACTGTTTAGATAACAACATTGACACTTCAAAACAGTCTATGTTCATCACATTATTTTCATCCAAAAATGTATCACTACAATTTTGCATATGCTAGATTTTCTACAGTTCCACACTGTTAAGATAGAAACATTGACATTCAAATTAAATGATCTATCACCATCATTTCCACCAAAAATAAAGTACAAAGGATGATCGATCGTATTAATGGGGATGCTTTACAGTGGCTGCAGTGAATTTAATGATTATGAGATAAGTTCATTATAGTCTTTGTCTTCTGATATATTCTAATATTTAATGAGCTTTGAACACAAGTTTTAAACAAAAATACTTGTTTATCTTTAAGTAAACATATTTGTGTTGATAATGTTGGTTCCCATTTTATTATTTAGAAATATTCGTGTAAATCAGTACCTCAAGAAAATGAAGTTCAACAGAAGCCATAGCCATGGTACCCTGAAGTCAAATCCCAGTGAAAAAGGTATCCCGACAAGACGCTACAGAACAATAGAAAAGAAAGTTGAAAAATGTGTGTTTCTTGTGCAAAAGAAACCAGCTAGAGTTCGGCTTCATAATAAATGTTTTAACCCTATCATTCTCAAATAATTTACTCTCTTCACTACATTCAATAATTTTGTCTATTCATGTCAAGTAGCTATTTTGTCACGATATTCGTGGAGACAAACATAATTAGAGACAAAAGCCCTTATCTAACTACTATTTTATACATTAAACTTTAACTCAAGTAATGCATGTATTAATTACGACTAACTTTAATATATATATATATATATCAGTACCTTGTAAATGTATAATTTGGTAGCCTTTAATATTGTGTTATAAAGCCTCCTCCCTCCCTCACTCTTTAATATGCTTTCACTTCTCCTCTCTCTCTGAATGCCCTGATCTATCTATCTTCTACTCTGCCCCTGTCCAAACTCCTTTTTTTGGTTCTCTATTCATTTTTGTACTAAAAAGAACCAAGAAAATGGGAGCTCTTGATTTCCTTTCTGACTACTTCTCAGTCTCCACCCAAAAAAAGAAACGGAAAGCAATGCAGGTATTCATGAGTTGCTACGCCATATGTGTGGGTGGTTGTAGTCTCAAGCAAATTCTGATTTTGTTTTCCTTTTTGTCTTGCAGACAGTTGAAATCAAGGTGAAAATGGACTGTGATGGCTGTGAAAGAAGAGTTCGTAATTCTGTTTCCAACATGTCAGGTTCGTAACTCTCTTCTTCTCTTATTTACTTTCACAGTTTTATCTTAATAGCCAATATTGATATTTACTGAAAATCGTTATTATTGAGATGAAACTTCAATTACGAGGAAAGAATAGTAGTACACAAAAGAAAACCATATAAACTTTGTCCTATATCATAACATAAATCATTTTTGGTAGGTGCTGATTAATTTGCTGTAGGGACTGTTCAAATCCTCAAAGGGGTTGATTCAAATGTTGTTGGTAAATAGAGAAAAAGAATTGATTATAGTTAACTAACTTTGAAAACTTGAATCCAGGTGTGAAACAAGTAGAGGTGAATAGAAAGCAAAGCAAGGTAACAGTAACAGGCTACGTGGATAGAAACAAGGTGCTGAAGAAAGTGCAAAGAACAGGAAAAAGAGCTGAGTTTTGGCCCTATATTCAGTACAACTTGGTGGCATATCCCTATGTGGCTCAGGCATATGACAAGAAGGCACCATCTGGGTTTGTGAAAAACACTGAACAAGCACTCCCCAATCCAAACGCACCTGATGAGAAACTCACCTCTCTCTTCAGTGATGACAACCCTAATGCATGTTTAATCATGTAAAGCATTTAGCAAGTATGTACAAGATCAGAGCTACCTTGCAAGTTCATATGCTTCACTTTTCCATGTGTGCATATATAGTTTCTTTGAGACTATCTTTTGGCTTCTTGTAGCTTTTTTTAATTGCTTTGTTTCGTGACTATATATATTTGGTTCTGCTTATAAATTTGAATAGAATTTGGAGGAACAGATGAAATTCTGTTTGTGACAGTTGTGTCCCTGTGTTGAATTTGAATCACTACTGTTATGTTATATTTCATGCTCATCGTGTACCAAGTTTTCTCTTCATTTTATATATTCTTCTTTTGTACTTTTTTCTTTCTTTCAATCATTTTCTTCTTTCCATCTATCATTATTCAAAATACAAATAAAAAATTATCGACACTGTAACATTTCAATAATTATATAACTTTCTTTTTATGAACAAATATTATATTAACTATCAATATTATTGAATATATATATTATAACTTTATTAATCATATTATTTTCTTTTTACATGTATAGTCAAATATAAATTTTAAATTATTAATCCGGACACACTATAGATGACGGGTATTAATTTAAATAATTTATTATTTTCATAAATTTCTTCTTTCGAAAGGCCTCTTTTCAATAATATAACATTTCATTACTAATAATATTATTTATTATAACATTTAATAAACGTTAGTTATATTGTTGGATGCATAAAGAGTAAGAAATGAATCTCTCTCTGTGGCAAATTAGTTTCTGATTTAGTGTCGTATTTTAAGTGATGGATAAGAAAGAAAATAATACCAGTATTCAGAAACGAGGAGATATGTTAACTTTTTATCCGATTAATTTTTTATATAAAAAAAAAACAACAACAAAAACAAGATCTTTCCTTTTAAATAAAATAATATAGAACAAAACTCTGGTGTCATGTTTGTCAAACAGTAACATCATAGTATCTTGCTTTCCCTTTAATTTTGGGATTATACACAGTGGTGGTTGAAATGGATGGAGAAGCCGAAACCTTTACATCCAAATTGCTTGGTGCCAATTCAAGGCTCTACTCGGCATCAAATTACTTGAAGGTAGCTTTTATTAACTTACCTTTGCACGCTTTCTCACCGAAGGCTTCTTCTATTTTTGTCTCAGAAATTCAGTGCATATTGTAGACTTTTTTGAAAAGCATAAAGGCAAAAAGGAGAGAAGACCATGCTCATAAATCTAAATATCAAATTGGTAGTAGCTGAAATAGTGTAGGGTAGTGGGAATTTTTTTGGTTTAGCATTTAATGCAACTCCATAATAACTCTCTGCACTTTCTTACCAGCCAAAGAAGGAGATATTTATGGAAGGACAAAGGAACAAGTGATGAATCCAATAATTAATTCTACATCCCTATCAAGTTTTTATTTTTAGGGTTAGGGGACAAAAAGAAGAGGGGTCCATATTTATATTCCATTTGCATAAAGCTAATATTGGAAAAAAAGTATAGGGCTATTATTTGGCACAGGAACCTTCCACTTGGGAACAAGAACCGTAACTAAAGCATTCTTGTTCTCTTTTTTGGCATTGCACGAGTGTGTCTTCAAGGAAGAAAAAAATAATAATTTGGATCTTTAAGAATGTGGGTGGATTTAGAATTAGACTCTTTCTTAATTTATGACCACACTTATATCAATTTTCAAACACAAATTAATCATTTTTTAACTTTAACGTCCCTAGAACAATTGTTGGGTCTTCTAAAAGCAAATAATTTTAGAAATATACATTTTACATATCGAAAATATACTTCTAAAAGGAGTGAAAAGTGATTTAAGATACTTGTAATTAACCGTAATTTGATTAAATTGGTGTATGTTTGACTTAGGGTGGCATTAAATTAAAATGAATCCACAATTCCTATTAAACTATTTTAACTTTCAATTTTTATTTTCACATTAAAAATATAGATCCGAAACTTGAAACATAAATTAATACAACGTATGTTTCTGAAAAGCGAAAACGAGAGAGTGAGTGTGAGAGAAAGCCCACTCGAAATTGAGCAACAGGCCCACTGGGCCTTTTAATACGGAGACCCAGATAAGGAAAACAATTATAAAGTTTTTTAATTTAAAAAATTATATAATTTTTCATACCATATTCTTCATTTAACTAGATTTAAATTTTATACGTAACTACCAATATCTTATTTTGAAAGTGTGCCACTAGCCTGCTTAGTTCTACTTTTATGCAAAAACATGTTTTTAAAGTTTATTATTATATTTAAGATTTAAATTTTGAATCCGTTAGGTTTTGACTTTAACTAAGGAAGTGAACTAGTAAGAATATGCTTTTTAGTGTATGAGCAACATATAACTAACGTTCATCCTTCGGGTGATATCTTCCCTGTATCCATGCCATATGTTGAAGTTACTTTCATTGACAGAGTAGGTTTTCAGAAAGTACTGTGTTGCAACATTAATACAGAACCATGATGCTATGTGGCTATATTCGTGAAAACTGTTCCTTGTTCAAGTGTAGAGTGGGAACATGCTCGTTTTGGCAGAACGAGGACAAAGTGGTGCAGCAGTGTATGATAACAAAAATTGAATTAATGAAGAAACGTTAGTTTAAAGTTTTGTGGAGTTGTTGGTTCCTACAAATTTACAGTTTCTATTTTTAGGTCACTTCTTACCCACGGGTTCCCTTTGGTTTTGTCTGTTAGTGGAGCATACTAGTGTTTGGAGGGGCCAAAAATTATTGTGTTGGAGTTAGAGCCTGATGGGTCAAAATTTTGTGTTGGAGTTAGGGTTTCAGCATATTCTTTCTCTTTCTTCTTGCACAGCGTTTTACTTTCCTCTCAAATAGTTTGGCTAAAGTGCAATATGCCAATATATGCTTTTGCTGTAACCAGTTTTGCCAATTTGCTTCAGATAGTTTGGCCTTATGGTATATAACTATAGGTTCCTTTGAAGAAACTAAAACTAAAAACAGATAAAGTTAACTTTGGACTTTGACCAAACGATGGATTCAAACTGAGAGGACCTTGTGGTTACTGTTGTAAGGTTCTTTTTTCTTTTCTGTTTTTGAATGAGAGAAATCTATGAATCACCATAGCTATTGCTACTCTTCGTTATAATTCAAATAAGTTACTTTAAGATTGTAATTAGCATGAGCTAAAAGATGATAAAAGAAATGTGTGATGGTTAAGGTACCTTGTTGTTTAGATCTAATGATAATGAAATAAGCAATGTGGTAGGATGATGTGAAATTGGGACTCTCTTTTGGCATGAAATGAGAAGAAGGGTTGCAGGAAAAAGAATTGGACACGTCCCATTCAACCCTACAGGGGGACCCATGCTCACTGTTGCCATTTATGACTTTGGATATGAAATACCAACCAGATCAGATCCTCTTCTTCTGAAGGATACGATATAATACAATACAAATCCCACCTCATCTTAGCCTGTACTAACCCACACAATGCTGATCTCACATCACACACTCTCACCCTCGCCACTCTACATCAGATAACCCATGCCATGGTGTATATATAGTGCTCTTCTGCATTTTTATTTTTATTTTTATTTTTATTTTTCATTTAGAGAACCTGCACATAAAAATTAACATGTTAAAGGACTCTTTCTTTAATAAGCAAAAACAAACAAGTGGGTTATGATGATATAACAGGGTGTGTTCTAATCACATTGGCGAAACAATAAAAGAAAAGTAAGTTACAGTTAAAGTTAATTGTGGAAGAGCAATGACAGGCTTAGTGGAGAAGGAAAGACATAAAAGTAGGGTAAAAAAGCTTGATGTGTTGGAGAAGATGCAGGTGTTTGAGAGTAGGAAGTAATGATGACCTAACAAAGCTCACAATTTTAACTGAACCCCACCTCCTCCTCTCTTCCCTTCTCTAGTCCCAAGTCCACACTTGCCCCCACTTTTTCACAGCCTTTGTGTGATTGCGTGCACCCTCTGTTTCTATGCCTCTGCCAATAGACCTATATCATAGTCTATAAAATACAATTACAAATCCTTGTGTTGTGTGTCACATACCACAATAACACCAACAAAAAACTCAATTCACTTCTTCCTCCCAAATTCCCCCCCTCTGCCTCAGTATCCCTCCCTACCATAAATAGCTTTTAAACGAGGAACTGTGATTAGAATTTAGGCCCATAAAAGGTTCAAAACTTAATTTCTTCTTTGCTTTTCCTCTTTCCTTGGTTATACTACCACCACCACTACCCTACCCTACCCTCTACTCCACACAGCACAGTCGCTTTATCACATTGTTACGTTTTCAAATTTTGCATCCCAACATTCTGTTTCCTCCCTCGTCTCTAACCTTGGGTAACGTTTTTATGTAAACATACTGCTAATTTTATTTTTATTTAAAATTTGTTTAAATGAAGAGTGTACGAATTTTGTGGTGTGTAGTTTGAAATGAAAGTTTTAGTAATAATGCTATGGAATGCGCTAGGTGAGATGTTTCATGCTTTTACTAAGATTCTCTCTTTTTGTCGTCTCAAAGAACTTGTCTCTTTTATTGGGATCACCTTGACCAAACGAACTGCTAGTGCCCTTAAGGAGATTTGTTAGAAGATTAATCAAAACCTAAAAATGTGCAAAAAAACAAAAATTTCACACCCAAGTGAACTCATAATAAGTCCTTAATTTAATGTTCTGTGGTTTCCTTGAAATAAAGTTGGTGGTGTTAGTCACGATAAAATAATAAAAAAAGAGAGAAGATGGATAAATTAAAACAAGAGAGAATATATGTGCACTCTCTCGATCACGAATCCCAACTTAGGTTGGGCTAAGTTGCTCCATCTGGGCCACTTCATTCTCCTTCTTGTGAAGCTAAATACTGTAAGAATTAATTCCAATAATTTTAACTCTCTTTAATAAATAAAACTTAATCGATGTGTTTCAATCTCTAAACTTATCACAGTAATACCTTGTTCTCATCCTCCATTGACCCTTGTGTATATGGCATGATTCCTTAGAGAAGTTGAAGAAGAAAACGATGAGAGAGAAAGAGGTGATTCCATTCTCAGTCTTAGGTCAAGTCATTGATATTCTTTTAACAGATTACATGTATCATCACATCATGCAATCATACCGGAACAAGTGTCAATTTTTATTCTTCATAATATCTTCAATACAAGTAAGATGTGGGGAGAGTAAAATGGGTCTAACTTAAAATTCTGAAAAAATGAGATACGAATTTATCTATACATTTTTTAAAATGTGAAAAAAAAAACTTGATAATTAATTTAACCCTAATATTTTAATCACAGTAGGAGAAGAAGTTTTCCGAGAACAAAAAGCACCTAATGATTGTGGAATATGGGTACCTACAATCAAATGACAAACAAGTGGTGACAACGTTAGCATATGTATAGCGAAAAAATAGCCTCGGACAATGGTCGCAAAGCAAGGGTTTTGGACTGTCACCAAGGTACGGTGAAGCTCTTCGTTGTATTGTGCGTAACATAATGGAACAAGTGTAGTCATCGTCCTCCATAATCAAAATCATTAATAAAACTCGTTTTTGCAGGTGCACCAGACCCCACCAATTTACCACTCATGCATGGTTCTTTCTCCACTGAGCAAATCCTTGTAGTAAGAATACACCAACTTTTCCAAAAACAAAATTTGATAAGCGACAGGGAGTTGCAAACATCGTTAAATAAACATTCTAGTTCCCTTTAATTATGAGTTTATGACACGGAGAGTACGTGTTTTTTTTTTTTTTTTTTTTAGAACATTTTGTCAACATATGAACTGTTCTTCAACTACTATACTACTCATTCATTCCACAGCTTTTTCTACCAATTTTCTCATACTCTCGTCATTTAAGGGTTGGATTAAATTAATTTTTCATTACGGAATGTGATTAACATGATACGTGAAAGACGTTCAAGCCTAAGTCCTGTATTTGAAGGTATTCCACAATGAAACGGTAAAGGGATGAGAGTGTTAATAACTATTTGTGACATTCAAATTTATTAAATTTCTCTTTTGTTTTTTAATTTTATCATTAAGTGTATTAGATACTTTGAATAAAGTAATTTGTTCCTTCCCATAAATGTTATGTATTTTGTTCCTTCCCATAAATCTGTATGAGGCGTGACACTTAGTCAACCTTCTTTTATCAACAAATAAATTGGTATTAATTATTTTTTAACGGTTGCACGTGTTTAACAAACAACATCATAATAACAACAAAAATCTTACTTTATATAAAATAATTATTCCAGTTAATATTATTACTCATTATTACAATATTATTGTTTTCAAATATTATCTACTCGTTTATAATGATTACACCATTTCATTGTTTAAGAATTATTCCGTAAATATGAATAAATATTAGATGAAGAAAATAAAAATGGATGTAATATGAATAAATATTACTATCATATTTTCTGCAAAAATAACTTATTCAGTTACCATATATCATGTTAATAATTACTTAGTATTATGCTACATTTTATCATAATTTTTTTATGATATGTATAATTTAGTTATCTAGTTTAATTTTCAATTTAAAATAATTATCACCTATACCCAATATTTACTTCATTGTTACACATATATCAAGTAAATTTTTTTATTGATGTAAATAATCATAATTATTTTAAATTAAATCTAAAACTAACATAAATATATATCTATAAATATACCATTATTTAAAAAATATATTTTTTATTTATTAAATGACATTTTAAAATATTAAAAATTCAAATACCTTATTTACATATGTTAACACAAAAATTATTATTTTATGACATAACTTTAAGAACATAAAAGAAAATTGAAAACAAATTATCAACATAACCCACTTTTAATGAACATTTAAGCACAGTTTAATATTTAAACATAGCACAGTACTATAATATAAAATCAAGATACAATAAAAAATTTCCAACATATTTGAAAAAGGTCATTCTAATAAATTACTTTAATAAAATTTGAATGAAAAATATATTAAAAAAAGTATAAATTCTATAATTAATTAAATTAATCACCACAAGATTCCATTCCATAAATTATTGAATAAATAAATAAATACAAAAATAAAATAATCACATTAGTTCACAGGAAAAAATTGAAAAAGTATTTAGTTTTGAAATTTTTGATCCCAAAGGAGTGGTTGCTGAAAAAAAAAATAAAAAATTGATGAAGATGAATATGAAGAGAAGAGTAGAGAGTAAGTTGAGATGTGACAAAGGTACAGAGGATGAACTCGGCATGTCAAGTCGCTGTTCTTCTTTTATTGTTTTCCTTCAGTGGTTAACGTTAAATCACATCGTTTCAGATTCACAGCAACCTCAACTTCTCTCTCCTCTCCCTTTTTCCCTTTTTACTCCCTCTGACTTTTTCACTTCTTTCTGCATTTTTTTTTTTCTTTCTACTGTTTTTCTTGGCATTTGCTTTCTACTTTTTTTTTTAATTTCATTTAAATACTTTTTTCCACTGTCTTGTAAAATTTATACATTTTAAAATTCATACTTGACATGGGTTAATGTTAAATTTGTATAAGTATATAATAGGACAATACATAACATGAAATCTTATTTTAAAGTTATGTTGGAATCCCATGTGGCTTTGTTTTGTTTGCTTCCGAGAACTGGCTGAGGGAGGGAGGGAGGAGAGTAGCTACTACTAGCCAGTATAAGAGAGAGAGTAGAATAAGTTGTAGAAACTCACATGCAACCCCTTTTTACCGTTTGCTAAGGAGCTTATTTTTTGATTGCAAACAGAGGGAGAGAGAAAAGAGGGAGCCTGTTTCGTTCCAAACATCACTGAAGAAATGACTAAAGAAGAAGACTTTAAGCTCCTTAAAATCCAGGTCTTTCTCCCTTATCCAACACATGCTTTCTGTCTTTCTTTTGAGACTCCTTTTCTTGTTTTTTTAATTCCATTTTCTATGAACACAGCAAAGTTGTTTGTTGGTCTTATCCTGAGGAATCTTTCTGTTTTCTTTTCTTGTTTGTTTCGTCTCATTTTCCTCTACAGACTTGTGTTCTCAAAGTGAACATTCACTGTGATGGGTGTAAGCAGAAAGTGAAGAAACTCCTTCAGAGAATTGAAGGTCCTCCCTTTCTTTTCATCTCTCTTGTTTTTGCATATCCTGTCTTGCCCTTACTATTCATTCACTATCCTCATTCTTGTCTACATTATCTCTAGCTGCCATGGTTTTACTTTATTACAAAGTGTACTGACACAGGAAATTTTGTGAAACTTTTTCTTCGATGGAAATCCTAACCGTCGCATGGTTATATATTTATGTAGGAAAAATTACGCTTAAACTGAAGAGTGTAGTAGAATTGCTAACTCGCGTGAAACATTTTCTTGTCACAAGCTATGATATAGTTAAATGAAAATCAAGAAAGTAGCCTGGATATTTGTTTCTAAACCATCTTGGGAAGTTAGGCTTGTAGTTATGGTGTTTGAAACTAGTAGCAGTTTGACCTTGGTGTATGTACGGTATGGATAATGATAAGAAGTTAGTAAAATTTTGGGAAGAATTTGTCAGATAAAGGTGTTAATAGCTAAGTAGCTCCAAATGATTTGTCATATCGAAGAAAACTTGACCTTTGCTTGCTCTTTAAAGTGAGAAGGTTATTGTATTCTTTTAAGTGTTAGTAACTTGTGTAAATTTCAGGATTATTTGTTATTCTTCGTATTTATTGTTGAGCTTGGAACTGAAATTCCAGTTGCTTGTGTTCCACAGGTGTTTACCAAGTTCAAATAGATGCTGAACAGCAGAAAGTAACGGTTTCAGGTAGTGTGGATTCTGCAACCTTGATCAAGAAGCTGGTCAGAGCGGGTAAATATGCCGAGCTCTGGTGTCAGAAAAATCAGAACCAAAAGCAGAAGAGCAACAATGCGAAGGATGACAAGAACAAAGGACAAAAGCAAGCACTTGTCAAGGGACTTGAGGCCTTCAAAAACCAGCAGAAGTTTCCTGCATTTAGTTCTGAGGAGGATGAATACTACTCAGAATATGAAGACGACGACGATGAGGAAGATGAAGAAATGCGCTTTCTCAGGGAGAAAGCCAATCAACTGCAGATGCTCAAGCAGCAAGCGGCTAATGCAAATAATGTGAGGAAAAGTATGGGAACCATTGGAGCAGGTGCCAACACTGGGAAGATGAACAATGGTGGTGGCAATGCCAATGGTGGCAAGAAAGGAGGCCCAAATCAGAATTTGGGAATGAAGGAGAATCCTACTAGGGGGCTTGATCAGAAAACAATGGCAGCCCTTAAATTGAACGGTGGCCACCTGGGTGGCGAAGGCCTCAACCTCAACCTCGGTGAAGCCAAAAGGGCCAATGACATTGGTGCCATGATGAATTTAGCTGGTTTTAATGGAAATGGTGCTAATGTTGGTAGTGCCACTGTTCTAGGGGCTAATAATACTAATGGCATGGGAGGTTTTCCTGTTCAGTCCAATAATATGATTCCAGGGTCCTCTGCAGCTTTTTCAAATGGTGGTATTGCTGCAGGTCAATATCCATCTTCTCTGCTAATGAACATGAATGGCTTCAATAACCATCCGTCCCCATCTCCATTGGTGATGAACATGAACATGCAGGCTAGACAAGCCATGCAGCAACAGCCCCAGATGATGTATCACAGGTCTCCCTTTATTCCCCCTAACACTGGCTATTACTACAACCATAGTAATAGCTACAGCCCTGCACAATACTCCTATTCCTATGGCTTGCCTAGTTACCCTGGGGGCGATGATCACTCTGCAGCTCACATGTTCAGTGATGACAATACCAGTAGCAGTTGTTCTATAATGTAATGATAGATAGTAAAGCCCGAAAAGTGAAAAAAGAAAAGCAAAAAAGGAAGATGGGTTTGACCTTATAGTCCCATTTACCAAGCTAGGATAGTGTTTGACTGCAATTTGGTGGGGCATATGAATGTGTTGGGGAGGGATGAATGATGTGTGTGAGTGAATCATATCAGTGTACTGTGTAGTTGTTAAGATGATGTTTGCCTTGTTATTTTAAAAAAAAGATTGTATCCTTGGTTGTTCTGTCTCATGACCTGCTTTGTATGTGAGGTAGATGAACATGTGTTATGCTAAAGTCCTAACTTTTTCAGGCAATAAAGTATATTATATGCATCTAATCTTCTAGCCAATGTAAATTATGCGGACCTAACTTTGTACTTTGTAGCTTTGGAGGGACATGGAGATGGGTTCACATTTTATTTTATTATATTATATTGAATTGGATATCGGACTATGCTACAAATTAGACAAGGTGACACGAGTCACTGTTTTCTGTGCACTGAGACATGATATGATGACACCGTGTGTCCAAGAACAGTTGGGTTGACAATGTGTGCATCGCTGTGAGTAAATAGTATTATGCACGTTAGGTAGATACGCACGCGCGTATCACGTGTGGGATCATACAGTCCTGTAAGGGGCAGGACCACGTTACAACTTGGGAGTTGGTGACATAATTATGTTTACTAATACTAATTATACTCATATGATGCTGACATACTTCCAGCCAGGTATAACTTGGAGTCTATTAACTATCTCAAACAATGCACATGCACTATGTTTAAGGGGCTTATCCAAAGAGAATTTTGAACCCAACGTTTGTAGCCTTTTTCTAGTTAGGAAAAAGGAACTTGAAAAGGTATAAGCAGAGACTGTTGGAACTGCTACCTTGGTAAGTTGGGAGCATTTCCTAGGCTCCTTCCTGGTTTTATGCATATATTTATGTATCTAATTATGAGAGTCAAGTTATATTTTTTCAAGTTCAAAGTTTGAACTTCATACATTCTTCAAGGGGATAACCAATAATATAGTAAAATAGTATAAGCAATACACTGTTATTAACAAAACGGAGGAATGATGATGTCTTCTCACATTATTATCTTTGTAGTTTCTAGACGATGATTGGGCATTTATTTATACTTTCGCTATAATCTTGAGGTTTAGATCTCATTATGGTGTTATGAGTAGGGGTTTAGCTTTGGAAAAATAACTGGAAGTTGGTTGTTAGTTGGTTTGTTATCAAGGAAGGGTTGCCATCAATAAATAATGAATAGAATGTCCACATATGTGGTTGCCAGCAAATTCAACAACAGGTTTAAATAAAGTGTATGTCCTCCAAGTATTGGGAAGTGAGTTATTCTAAAGAAGGGTTTTAAAAACAACTAACTCAAATAAATTAATCCACAGAAATTCAACGGTCAATTTACTAGCTAAATATCTCAGGAATGCTATGCATGTTATGTTATGATATCCTTGTTGTTATTGGTACCTAGGCTAATTAATATCCAGCTACACACCGCATTTGAGCAGTAAAGGAAAACAACAAATACTTAAATTTAAATTTTTATATTTATAACTATAATTTTATTATTATGGAGGAACTCTGAGATGAATGTTTAGGAAAGATGAATTGTATAAGTATCAATGCTCCTAAAAGAAATATTCCTTTGTAAAAAAATTCTCAGCTCTGATTGTAGAAATTTTGTCTTCACTCAGTATTTTTCTCTAGTTTGTGAGTATGTGATTTGTTTGACTTTAGGTTTTAATAAATGCTGCTATGGAGAAAAAAATATCACCCATAACATCTCACAGTATTGAAACAGGATGGTCAGGATATTGTGGTTTGTAAACAAAAATGATTTTTCTCTGGTTAAAGAATATGGGAAGAAAGTACTACTATGAAAGGATTTATGTAATAAAAAAGTAACCGTGATCATTACAAGTTAGAAGAGTGTTTTATATAAAAATTATTCCTTTTGGGTGTTATTATTGAATGTTTAAACAGCGAGATATAAGTTCCACAGGCCAGTGCCATGGAATGTCATTTACCAATAAAATCCTTTTCCAAGCATGACACCAAATTACTACAGTAAAATAAATGAATAAGAGATTCACCCCTACGTAACAAAATACATTAGGAATCTTGGTAGAACTCTTCAAGGTTCATGCAAAGTCTTCTCTATCTAATTGTAAATAATATATTCTTTCCAAATTACTAACCATTTTTTATAGGCTCACAAGAAAAACAAAGTTAGGAAACAAAAAGGTGGCGACAACACATGTGGCTGAACTCCATGAGAGATTGATTTGAGTTTATCCACTAATAATCCTATGCAGTTCTTTCTGGATTCGGGTTTTGAAGCATCACCACAAGACACAGATCAAGATTCTGCATGAATAAACCATTATTTAAACAATAGCTCATCTTTCATATACCAAATGATATAGATAATAGATAAGACAAGGTTGACGAAATAAACTAAAATGCCAACAATCGTTCAAAAACAATATTTGTTGTCCCTTTATCTACAATCTTTCAGATTTTTTCTTGAGTCCACATTCACTCACATTCTCTAGTACCATTTGTCCGTGACATTCTTTATTTTAAGCTACAAATTTGTTGAGATTCACAAAAAGATATGGGCTTCAGTTATTATTGAATAAAGCTAATTCACAAGTTTTAGCCAAATATAGTATTCTAGAAACTTCTGATTGTCTCATTAGTAGTTGTAAAATAATACTCTTATATCCCTTAATATAAAACACATTTTAAAAGAAAATATTGGTTATTGCTATAAATATTTTATATTTTCTATGTTATTTTAAATTTTTTATTAAATATTATGGACATTAATTTTTTATATTAATAAATAATAAGATGGTAGAAATGAATGATAACGAAAATTAATTTAATTATGGGTAATATTTTTTAAAAATTAAACTAAACTAATTATTTTTATTAGTGATTTTGCTAAAGATATCTTTCTATTAAGAATATTAGGAGTATAATATCTTATGAAAACAATTATTAATTGTTGTTTTTTTGCTAAGTGCATTCCTTTATTTTCTCCAACTAGGAATTTTAGCTTAATTACAATTTTGCCCCCATTTTTTCAAGGGAATATTGTAACACTCATTTTATTTGTAATCATTTTTTTTATATTGTTTTAAAAAATACATTCACTTTCTTCATTTTCAGTGTGAGGTGAATTAGAACATTAAGTACACCCAGCAAGTGTAAGGGTGAGGTAAAATAAGAAATCATCTTTAGTTTAAATTAAGGTCGATTTTAATTTTTCAAATATTTGAGTTAATTAGTTTTGTTTAAATACAATAAATATGATTTTTATGTGTAAAATCTTCCTATTCTCATTTTCTATTCAAATATTTAGATATTTGTGAAGAACTTGAAATATAAAATTATTTAAAGGTTAAATATTGAATGTAAATTTAATAAAATTTAAAGGATTCATTAGAAGGTCAGGTTATTGTTTGAAGTTAAAAACTGGATTTTTGAGCAAAATATAATATAATATTTTGGTAAGGCAATTTTGAATAAAAAAAGACTAAAAGGGTATAATATTGTTGGATCAATCTATGAAAATTTTGAGTTAAAACCCTGAAATTGAAGGTAAAAGAAATCAACAGTCTTTTGTTTTAAAAAAAAAAGAATTAACTTGTGGGATCAAAATCATATACAATCCAAGTAAAGAGATAAAATTTGTAATTAATAAAAAGTAACTTGAAAATGTTTTTTTTTTTACTTATGCTTATGCGCTCCTTGTGATTATTGTAGAAATTATTTTGTTTTAAAAGAGAAAGGTGTCAATATGATCTTAATTTGAATTATACAGGAAAAAAAATATATGGACAGCTAAATAATTACTTTCACAGGTAGAAGTGTTGTTTCATTACCTGCATTGATATTTTGCTTAGACAAGAACCAAAATCATCGCCAATTTCTTTGGAAATAAGAAGGAGTTTCCCACCTCTGCAGATAAAAAAATCAGCTTGGGTAAGTCTTAAGAGAAATCAATCAATGGTGCACGCGACAACACTATTGCAATCTTAACTCTTTTTTCTCGTTACATAACCACTGCATAAAATTGAAGATCATCATACAGTAGATGAGAATTATCAAATTCTTACCATAAAACTGAAGGTTCTGGGGCAGTGTTTATTCAGAAATCAAACTCCAAACGCGAACACAACCATCCTCCCCTGAACTGACCACTCTATCCTGAGCAATAAAAACCAATCCGTATACTCCACCTAAATGAGCACCCTTTATGGTTCTGCGGCTCGAGGCTGGTTTTCCAACTTCATATATAATGACACATGTATCAAGTGAACCAGTAGCTACAAGTGTGCTATCAGGTGACCAAGCAAGATTGTTAATACGTGCCGTATTAAACAACATGTTATTAAGCTTCACCTGAAGAGAAAATTTTGAGTCACATGCCAGCTCATAAAAGAAGAATTTATTTTTCAAAAGCACGAAGCATTTCAGAATCTATTACAGTATCATATCACATCTACCAAGCACACGAAATTCAACAAATGAGCCGCGTCTGTGTTGGGAACTGCGTGGTAATTCAAAGTTTTGTTGTGTTTGTGTCAGTGATGAGGCAACATCATTAAAAACCTACTTTTTTATCAGATTTTTTTTATTCAAACGAGAAGTATTTTATTTTATGGTCCCGTGTTATATCATTAATTGAGTAAACATATCCGGGTACAATATTCAATAAGCATTTTCTTGTAATTATCCTAACATGTACGTTACCACATTATTCATATAAAGAATGTCTTCTTTCCCACACTCAACATTTGGAAATATGGTACCAAATATAACATTCAAAACATGAACGAGATTCTTTATATTTCTGTCATTTGTTTGAGTAAGAGTAATTTCCCCTTAAGTAAATAAAGAATTATGGCCACCCAAATGTTTCATCAGTGCTGCTCATAATGGAAGCGAGAATACTACTACAATCAAGAAGACAAAAAATTACTTGTTTCAAACAGGAAAAGATTGTACATTGGATGAACAAATATTACCTCTTTGGAAGCACGGTCCCATACAACAGCTTCACGATTCATATCTGCTGATGCAAACATGGAAACATCTGGAGAGTATCTGATTACGGTGATGGCCCCTCGGTGCTTCTCAAGGACAGCCTGTTCAGTAACTGTATCTCCTGAGACTGAATAGACGCGCAACTTACCATCTTGCGCTCCCACAATTGCTTCACTGCCATCAGGCGAAAGAGCAGCCGCAGTCACAATAAAGTTCAGGTTTACAGTGGAAACAATTTTTGAACCGTTTAGTAAGACAACTCCATATTCAATTGCAATGATAGCAAGTTCAGGGCTATCAAGTGCAAGGCTCAAATCCTTAGGCTGACTTCCAACATCAACAATTTCAGCAGGACCGAGATCATCCCCTCGAAGAGGAACCCTGTATACCTACATTTAATACATAAAAGTTTAAGCACTATCTACTGAAGGCAAAAATCATTAGTTTGGAATAGAAGGTCAATGTTCGTTAAATATTATGAAGTAAAAGAAACAATTGATTTGTGACAAGATTGACAACCCAAGGATAATCTGCTCCCTCGGTGGGCTAAGTTATCAAATCAAGAAATAAACAAATTTCCTTCAACTATTCTTCAGTGAAAGATTAAGGGATAACGGTAAGGAGTTCAATTATACAGTCAGCGTTAGAATATTTGTTCAAATTAGAATTATTAATATTTTGTTTTTAGATCTTACAATTTATTGTAGTAGCGGAACTGTTTTAATATCTTGACTAATTTTAATCATCCGTGTTCTCGTGTGTATTTTGGTTACATGTATAGACATTTTTTCAACATGAGTATTAAAATCCATAAATTGAAGGTATTGTAAAATACAATTTCGAATTTACAAAATCTGGACTCGGATTTCTTTTTGTTTGGGGTTAGACACCAGTCAAACACACTACTGCATGTAATGCACAGGTCCTGTAAATTTTAACAAAACAATGGCTTAACACTGATGATACGTTAAACTGCAGCAGTAATTTGATATCGTATCAAAATTTCCCCACATGATTGTGTGGTAGAAAGATATCATAATGAATATCAACAATGCAACAAGGTGCCTTCTAAACTGAATAATTTGACTAATAACCAAGCATAGATTAAGAGTTCATCTCAAGTATGTGCTGATTGTGAATATAAGATCCAAACAGCTGTTTAAGAAAGTAAAATGAAGCAACGTGAGAAACACTTGAGGTGTTGCAAACCTTGTTCACAAAAGACTAATTTCTCATTTTCCTATATATTTCTATCTTATAAATGCCCAACTAATAACAAAATAGACTATTAACTTCTATCTTTTTATAAAAAGCAGAACTTTCTTCTGTTTTTGCACTCTGTTTCAATATGGAGACAAAATTTATGAATTGTTAATAATGATTGAAGACTTAATCTAATTCATGCTGGACCTACGATGAAAGGCACTATTTAGCTACATTGCTTCACAAATCTTCCAGAACAATATATTTGTTAAACAGTAAACACCATTCATAGAATTGCAAAACCTAGATCTAGATTCATCCCACGCATAAGTTCAACATCTAATGCTGGACTCAACATGATTTTGCATGTACTTTCAGGATAAACATGAGCAAAATTGATTTCATGGTTTGGTGACTAGCCTACTATCAGAAATATTATACTATATTTGTCTAAAAATAATTCCACAATCGCGGTACATCAAGCGTGGAGCATCAGTGTTTTGCAACGAAGAAATATAAGGACCAAAGATGTCTGTATAATGATAAATCATAAATAAATGATGTCACATGTCAATCAGTTACCTTGTTATCAAATCCAGAAGCAATAACTTCATCTTGAGCAGCTACTAACAATTTGATTAATCCAAATTGTTTACTCTCAAACTTGCCACCGTATCCCACGCCTGGAATCCATCTAATGATCACTCCATCATAGCTGCTGGTCAAAAGCATCTTTTCACTTCTTTTGAGCAGGGTTAAAACGGTGACATTTTTCATGTGCCCAGATATTGTCAATGGGCTTTTATCTAAATCCTTAGCAGAATATATATTAGTCGTGCCACCAAGAGAGATAGTAAGCAGAAAATCATTCTGCCAAAGACAACCAACAAGCATGTCCTCCACCTCGCCAGATTCAGTACATGCCAGAGTCTTATTAAGAGTTCCACTACTACCATCATCAACAATATCCCATATTTTTGCAGATTTGTCAGCGGACACAGTAAGAACCTGCAATTGATTATTAAGTACTTTAGAGTAGCATGTAAACATAACTATCCTGAACATCGGAAAAGCATAAACACGACCAAATCATTTTCTTCTGTACACGATTAGATTGATATCATAAATTACTATACTTGAAAAAAAAAAAATATCTTCTGCCACCATGTATTCTATATATAGACTTGTTAAGCTCTTAATAATTCTTAATAGCATGTTTCGAACGTGGATTGGATGCATAAACTACATACATTATGTAGCGTGGGAATGAATTCACATGTGGTTCTCAAACGCGACACCAAGTATACAGTAAATCAACTTGAAACAGTAAGATTAAAACATAAGCAGAAGCTTACCTGTTTGCTGTCAGGACTCCAACTAACTGCATATATGCTGCCCTTATGACCATCCTCCGTGGACAACTCACCAAGTTTGTTCCCTGTCTTTCCATCATATATAATGCCCTTCCTATCCGAGCTAACAGTAATAAATTTGCTCCCATCTGGAGAAAATCTAACACAGTTGACAAAATTCGAATGGTCCCTGCAGATACAGAATGTCTTCTATGACAACCTGAATAAAGAAATGGAAACCTACTCAACCCAAAACATTTCTTTCATGCTAAAACAACCTGACCCTATTTCAAAAGTAAAAGACTTGATAATTGACAATGCCGTGATATGGTACTCTTAATCATACACTATATATAGCTATAACGAATTTATCTTTATCCACATCACCCAAAAACTCTTGAATCTTGATCATTTCTATTATAAAATTCCTTGAATATCTCAATTCCCTGGTAAAATAAATACATTCATTTTTATGTGCATCTTTACCAACAAATGAATATGCACTTCATATGAAATGAATATAAACTGCCCACTAAAAAACAATGAAAAACAAGCTCCCCTAGTTAATTTGAAGAAGCGTTGATCCACTATAAACCAGTGACAAACATGCTACCCCAGTAAACTTACCTGATGGACATATTGAACTTGAACGGTGGACCGTCATAAAAATTCGCCAAAAAATCTTCGCCACATGTGACAATGCGGAATGGCCTTGTTGGTTTAAATGCACAGCTTAAAACTCGGCGCGAATGGCCATCAAAATCACCAACAGTGGAACCTGAATCCCACCTTAAAATCCAAAATATATTATAGATGAAAAAAGGGGTCACGCAATTAGATGTTGAAAAATAGGAAGCAAATTGGTACATACATGCAATAAGAAATTCAAGCATTATGATTTGATATCGTTACTTGAATTATGAATTGAGCCATAACAGAGAATTTATTTTTTTATTGAAAAGCCTCAAACAAATTAAAAATCATTTCAGTTAAAAATTGCATAGCTACTACGTTCATTCAAACCATACAGGGTCATAAGAAATACAATTTAAATACTTATAATGGCAAGAAACGTTAACTCTGACTAGGTATGTGATAGCAATCCAGGTCCAATATTGAAACTAACCGTATCAAAAGGCCCAATAAGGGATCTGACCCAAATATGGCAGCAAGGGATCAAAGGTTACCAAAATACCTAGTTGATTACAACTTATAGAGTAGGGTTTTGGTGAAAAAATATTGATGTATGAGTTGTCAGTAATTTAGAGGATATGTTGAAAGTTTGTTATTTCTCACTCTGTTATATATTCCTGAATAATGAATAAACGAGGAAGAAAAATTATTATCATATTTCCATTATCTTTTTTCTGTACGTGACTCTTGAACTCGAATCAAGGCAATTTATCTATGAGTACGTGAGTCAAGGTGTCGATGATAATGTGATGAAACATCATCAGTCACTAGTTTCTTTGAACTATCTCATCAAAAGAAATTCTTACACTATACTAGTTTGGGTATTCGCTTTAAATCAATTAAATTAATTCTACATTTATATTATTAGACTAAAATAGGAAAATTGAATTCAGTATCATTATAAATAGTTTTGTTGTGGTCTATTACATAAATATATGATTAATAATTTTATACTCTCGATATATAACTTTTAAAAGCATTAATATTTTTAAACTTTTACTACATGTATAGTAATTAAAGTAGGATGAAAATACAAGTGCACAAAGGTTGTTGTACTACAAGAGTAAAATTTTAAAAAATGTATAGTAAAATACAAACACATAGTTTAATTTCTGTCAACTATTAGAGATATTGATACTAAATATGCCTAAAAACTCAATAAATTTTTGTTATAGTTAAATAGAAGTGAAAAACCTTGTCGGCATAGACTATTTTTTCAGAATAATACTAAGCATGTCTTTAGAAAATATCTATGCATAGTATCTATTTATCTCTTCTTTCTCTCACTCTCTCTCTCTCTCTCTCTCTCTATATATATATATATATATATATATATATATATATTATTGAAAAAGTTTTATGATAAATAGATAATGTTGAGATCTAGGTTCCACCAAACAAAATATCAAGATATTGAAATTTGAGTCTCCAGTGAGTGTGACATGCTTGGAAGATTCATGCTAATTAAAAAAAAAAAACTCAAAATTGACATAACATAAAAAAGTGCAATTATAACATTAAAAATAAATAAAAAAAGAGAGGAAATTAGAAGACAGTTACATAAAGGCGCGAACGAAGGACTTGCCCTTGCCATCCCCACAAGCGACGATCCTCATTCCATCGAAGGACCACTGGAGGTCGTCAATCCGACCGGAGAGGACCCGAAACTCGTTCTTCAGAACGAATTCGTTGTGGGTCCCCCAGATGCGGACGGTGCCAGATACGTCAGCGGAGGCGATCCACTCGCCGTTGGGGGAGTAACGCGCCACCGTGACGGGGTAGGCGTGCTCGCTGTAGACGGAGACCTGGAGCGGGTTCTCGAGGTTGCGGATGATGACGGATCGGCCGGTGCAGTAGAGAATGTTGTTGGATTTGGAATCGCCGGAGATGAGGATGCCGCGGCCGCGCTCCGTGGAGGGTGCGCACGCGTATGTCTCCGAAAGTGTCGCCATTGTTGAATCGGGATTGCTCTGTGCCCATTTTTTTGGGGTGATTATGGATGCGAGTTATAGAGTGCGATAGAGAGAGAGTGTTTGTTCCCGAAAATGGAGGACTGTGTTTTGAACAGGCTAGCTTTCTCATCCATTCACATTTTCCGTTTTTGTGTCAAACTCTTCAATTGTTCCATATGCGCAGTGGAAACTAATTTCAATTCATTATTATTTATTTATCTAAAATAGTCAAGTAATTACAATAAATTATTTTGTAAAACAGTATAAATATAGGATTTACACTTTCAAAATACTCTTGTTCAATTTAAACCTCTAGAACTAGTTTAAAATAATTAATGTAAAACTCATATTAAAATAATAACTTAACTCTAAATCAAAATAGAAAACTCAAAGAATTGAAAAATATATTAAAAACATATATTTAATATACTGCTTTCTCCATTTTAAAAGAATGATTTAGCTGATATACTCATATTTAATGAATTATTATTATTATTATTTTCTTAATGTATTCTTAAAATTAATTACTCTTTATATCTTAGTCAAAGCAATACATTGATTGGAATAATTAATTATTGGATGTCTTTTATATTGTTAATATAATGAGAAAAAAACATTAAATTGCAATTTCTTTAGAAGGAAGAAATATTTTCTTAAAATAACTCATTTCAAATTTAACTTCTTAATAATATTTGTGGTACACATTTTTTTTTTATTAAATTACACTTATTATTCGGAGATTTCGTAAAATTACATAAATTTTTTTACACTTTGTTTCTAGTGGAATTTCGATCGATTTCGATTCTAAAGGTGTCTCGGTCTTAATCGAAATCCTACCACGTAAGTTCTTTTTACTTAGGCTAGCAATTTGATTTTCAATCGAAAACGTGTATGAGAATAGAAGATCACAGGATATCGAAAGCGCTGTTTTTGATGTTTTGTATTTAAGGTCTCGAAAGCATTAAGACTATCGAATCGAAAAAGCAGAATGTTAAATTGCGAGGAAACGTAAAGTGCGAAAACCCCAAACTTGCATTAATTGTAAATAGCAAGAAATCGAAAACAACGCAAATATAAATGACAAGAAATCGAGATTGCAAGAAAAGTAAATGACAGAAAATTGAGATTTGCAGGATGTTAAATAACAGGAAATCTAAATGCAGAAACTCAAATTTTCATTGAATTGAAATGGACAAGGAATTGAAAATACAGAAACATAAAATTGCTGAATTTAAGTTGCATCAAAATAAATTACCAAGGAAAATACAGAAAGCGGTAAATGTACTCAGTGAGCAAGGAAATCCAGATTGTCAGGAGCTTCATGGTGTTCGTCGTTTCTCCGGTAGACTTTTCACTACTGATCCTGTTCTCTGCCAATTTCTGCTCCCCCCCTGTTCCTTTCTCCTTTGCTCTATTTATAGGGCATCCTTCAAGCCTTCCGAGAGCAGTTAACGCGACTGCTACCACGTTCTACGTGCGTATGGCAGTTTATTTTCTATAGTTTCCCACGTTCTCACGATCTCCGACTTTTTCCCATGATTTCAAAACTGCTCTCTATACGTGCATTCGACTTACTTCCCTTCACAATTTGGCCAAAGTCTCGATGTCCACATTGGCTTTCTTTACTCTCGATTCTGTATTTTTCGAGAACTTCGAATTGCTCACGATTCTTTTTTAACCCTGGTCTTATATGACTTAGTTTTTATTCGACAACAGTCATTTGATTATAATTCATTCGATTCTCGATTGTGTTTCTCGATGCTATATGCTACGTATTTTTAATTAGACATTGAATGAACTTTTGTTTATCTTATCGAGTCATATTTCTTCCCTTCGATTTCGATCGCTTTTCTCGATTTGCCACTAACAAAATGCCCCCTTGGAAGAATATAAATGATTTTTGTTTTATATTCTTTCAATATTCCCGCCTTAGTGTTTGAAAGCGCACAGGATTTAAGGTTTAGGGTTTCTGGGGTTCTAGGGTTAAAAAGGGTTTTAGGTTTCTTTTCCACTTTACGTCGCCGTCTCGTCAGTCTGTTGCCTTTCAGTACAAGTTACATTAATTACCTTTCCCTTCCGTCGTTTTCAACTCCCTAGATGATTTTCCCCTTAACCTCTCTCTTAGTCTTCACTCTGGTTTTTTACGCGAACCATTACCTTCTGTGCAATCTTATCTTCTCCCTTGAGCTCCTGCCTTCGTCCCTGTTACCTCATCGGTTAATTCTTCCCTTTCTGTTTTCCTAAGCTCACTGCAATGGCCACCTCGTCGAAATCTTCTGACTTCTCCGTTCCACCCCTTTCCTCATTGCCTTCCAACCTCGCTGGAGATTAATAACCGAAGTTCGCTCCAGTCCCTTTGATGGAGGAGGCTTCCCGCAAAATTGCTGAAACGCAGGTACTTATCCCTTACACCGCCGAGGGGTTAATTTTGCTTTTGGGGTCCACTTCGTCCTATAGATGACATTTTCTCCCTCTCAACCTCTCGATTAGCCGGCTCTTGTACATCATCCCGAGGTTAGGGTTGATTTTCCGAATCTTACCTCTAAGGTATATAGAACAGGCCCTCCTTCCAAAAAATCTTCCTTCATTAGGTGGTTTGATAGGGTAAAGACTAAGTTTGGGAGCCACTGGAAGGATGTTGGAATTTTCGACTTTTTGCACCTGTCTCGATGCGATCTGTCGTTTTTGGACATGACAATGTTTCTATCTACAGTGCACTTATGGAACAAGGATTTACATGCTTTGGAGTTGCCTTGTGGCCCACTTTCACCCACCCTTTTTGAGGTCGCGGCTATTATCGGCTTGAAACCTACGGGGAAAAATACTTCAAGGGTACATGTCCTTCGGATAATTCTCCGAAGTCTAAAATTGATTGGGAATCGAAGGCCTATGGTCATTTTCTTGAGAAGCATTTTATCGATGACCCTTCGATAGCTCGTTACCGATGAAGAGCACGTGACATTTTTAGTGTATTGGTCGTGTACCCACGTCTTCTGCCCCCGATCGATCCAAATTTCCCCCCATCTTTTTGACCTTGCATATGTCCTGCACATAGGCCAGCCTAGGATATGTTTGGCTAAGTTGCTACTAGCTCATGTGTATGCGACTTTCGACGAGGCTGTCGAAATTTTGAACACACCTAAAGCATCGGGGAACTTTTCAGGCCCCGTTTGGTTTGTACAGTTATGACTCACTTCGATCTTTGAGAGTGTCCTTCCTCGAATTTCTTTCGTCCCCCCGAGTGTAAATATAGAAGGGGCCCGATTATCCTCTCGTCACCCTCGCCATAAGTCTGATGAAACTACCTACTGTAAATACCTTCAATTTTTGTTAACCAGATTCACTTTCGACTCAACCTTGGCCCCATTTATCGTACATCTTGGACAAACAAGTGGCCAACTTAGGGGGCCAATTTGGTTTAAATCAAAATTTCCCGCTCGACTCTCGGGTTGCAATCGAACCGATTGATGTATGGAGCAATTATTTGACCCATGATGTTTTGGTGTCGGGTTTTCAGTCGAAGGATTTTAAGCTTGTCACCTATTACCCCCAGCTTTTCTCGAGACAATTTGGGTTGAGCCAATCTTTGCCCTTCTTCTCTCTCGATACCTCCCCAAAGTCCAAGCTAACTGAATCCACAATTAGTCGGGAGCTTGTTGAGCTTTTACCAAAAACCCCGATGCACTTTTACCCCTATGCTTTCGAGTCAAATTATTTATCTACTGTGGGTTTTTCTCAATGGTGGGCCGGTTGGTTCTCGAGTAGTCATGCTACTTTTGATGAAGTTCGACAGAAACTGACTACTCAACCTTCTCTTGTGTTGCAGGACAAGTCAAAATCGAAGAAAGGTACACACTTCCACTGTCTTCAAATATCTCGATTCGAGAACTTTTATCAAATATGTTACACCCCACTGAAATTAGAATCGACCTATTATGATGCTGTTATCTCCTTATCCAATAAAACGGACATTAATCGATCGAACCACAAAATAATCAATCCTTTAGGTAGAACTCCTTTTGAAATATATTGTCCAAATCGTCTTCCTACTTTTCCCACAGCTCCTTTTGGACTTGCTAAACCATTAACTCATCCAAAATGGGTTCGAGAATTGAGAACCCTCAGGGAAACACGTCGCCCAAAACCCAAAAACAAAGATATTTCTGTCTCGAAATTATCTTATTTCCCTTACCTTAACCTCCCTGAGGCTCTTTTGCCTCCCTGGCTTGTACATATCGACCGAGTCAAGATCTTGACTCCATCACCTTTTGGTGAGATTTTACCGCTTTCTTATACTTTTTTGATTCTCGTATATTATAAGCTAATCTGTCTTCTTTTATTGGCGCTTCGAAATCTACTAAGGTCACCGCTGTCGAGAAGGGTCAAGAGAAGGGACAAGAGGACCTGGGATCCTCGGGTGAGTCGGACCCATCAACCTTGATCGAAAACGCAGACGCTCGGCCACCATTCCTACTTCTTCGACAAAATCGAAGGTTCCTTTTGACTTCGTTTTGTCCTATTCATTTTTCTGTTTGATAAATCCATATTCTTATACTTATCTCTTTTCGATCTTCTATTTTCGTAAACAAAAATCGAAAAGTCCTCGATCTGTTCAACCAGCTCGCTCTCGATCCATTGTCGACGTGACTCTAATACGATCCCCACGACAACACCCGCCACCCGTTCAAGTCACGTAAGTTTCCTTCTTTATACGAATTCTATGTTCTTAAGTCTCGATAAAATTTGTAACATGGTTTCAAAATTTGATTTTCGGGATCTTCCATCGGAGACTCGTATCGACGAATGTCGAGTCTCAACTATTAGCACCCCTCACTCGAGGTATCTTATATATCATTGTATGATTGCTTTAACTTTTTGTGCATTTCTTGTTCGATAATGGTTTTCGATTTACAGCAACCTCGAGGCCGTGCAGATTCTTCCTCCTGCCTCGGCACCACTTGCTCTACCTCCCCCTGGTATTTATACTTTTCATTGTCACC